AATTATTATCTAATAGTGAAGATGGATTCATAAAATATTACATTGAACGAAATATATATATATATATATATATATATATGAGAAAAGATGTGATTAGCTCACTAGCTCTTATGAACATATGAGCTCAATAGCTCAGATTGAATCTGGGCCGATCTGATGATCACGGATGTGCGGTAGTATTTTAATTTTAGATTTTTTTTTCTACAAATTCAAATCATTTGAAATTTTAGACGTGTGTTCATCAAAAATAGATGAATCTTCAAAAAATATCAAAAAAATATTTTGCGTAAAATAAATTGACCAAAATACCCTAAAAAAGTTTTAAAGGCATTTTGGTTATTTTATTTTTCACGAATTATTTGTTTTTATATTTTTATTAGGTTCGCCTTGATGAGAATAACACACACTTCAAATTACAAGTGATTTGAATTTATAGAAAATAAAATAAAATTCAAGTATTACTGAATATTCGTGATCGTCAGATCGATCCAGATTCAATTTGGACCATTGAACTCGTATGTGTGAGCTAATCCCTATCTTTTTCCTTTTATATTATATATATATATTGTTTTTCATTTTTTATAATTTTATTCAGTTTAAAATTTCATATAATCATTAATATTTAACTTACATGCTATCATATCACCAATTTATTTTATATACAGAGCTGCTACAATGCGCAGCAGGCCCGCAAGAGAAATCGGTGAATGGCAGGTTGTCTCTCTCCGCAACCAACTCATTCCTCACGACCAACTCATTCCTCACTGTGCACAATCTTCCTCACTGTGCACAATCTTCACTCCGAAAACGTTTATACCCACCATTTTGCATCCTTCCAAATCACAGAAGTGTGAGAAAACAATGAGAAAACTCCTCAAATCCCTCCTCAACGGCCAAGGCCACCACCTTTTCAGACCTCCATCTATCCCACCTCATTTGGGTTTCCTCCGTATGCCATATGCTTCCTCTTTCTCACTTCCTTCTGTCTCTTCTATGGAATTTGAAATCTCTATTATCGACCGGGCCTGCAACTTGGTCCAAAACTATCAGTGGATCTCTCTCAAAACTGAGTTTCCTTCGATGAATCCATCAATGGCTGCTTTTATTCTATCTAAACTCTCTAGCAATCACTACTTGGTTCTTCAATTCTTTTTATGGGTCTCTGACCAACCAGGATTCAAGCACTCAGTTGAGACTTATTGCACAACGTTACTGGTCTTGAGCAATGGTGGTTTGAGAAGTGGCATATTCGTTCTTATCCAAAGGCTCATATTCAATCACAGTAAGTCTTTTCTAATTGAAGCTGTTGATTTCCTTGTCAATCACTCTGTAAAACCGATGTTTTTGGATACGATTATTGTTTCTCTGGTAAGGGTTCAGATGTTTGAGGAAGTTGTTTTAGTGGTCGGTGTGATCAATAGACATGGTTATATTCTTCCTTTCCAATATTGCAATAGATTGGTGAGATTTTTGAAGATGAACAAGGGGATTCTCGATTTGAACCATGTGATTTTCTCCTCATTTACTAGGTGCACAAAGAATTTGGGGAGTATCAATGGAATAAACAATTGGGTGGTGATTCTTTGATCATAGGAAAAAGTATGGGTAAAAATTCATCAAGAAATTTGGGCTCTAGAAAGTTTATTCTGAAGAATAAACGTCCGAAAAACAATGCCTTAAATAGGTTGAAGAAAATTGGTGCAGGGGATGGGTACACTGATTCTTCAGGGAATAAATTGGACCCCAATATTTGCAAGCACATTGGCTTGATCAGGGCGTTGTGTCACAAAGGCAAGGTAGAAGTTGCTCTTAGGTTGAGAGAAAAATTGCTTGTTGTTCCTGATATTGGTACTTATAACCACATGATGAATTGTCTCTGCAAACTGGGATATCTCGCAAAGGCAAATAGGCTTTTGAAAGAGATAATGGAATTGGGGTTGATCCCCGATTGTGTCACGTATACTACATTAGTTGATGGGTTCTGTAGATTTAATTATATAGATGGTGCTTTTGTTCTTCTAAATTTTATGGTGATGAATGGCATCAAACCCAACAGAATCCCTTGTAATATACTTGTTAATGCCCTTTGCAACAGGGGTCAATTGGAAGATGCTAATAAGCTTTTAGCAAAGTTACTAACTGAGCACAAGGCCTCTAATCTGATCACTATGACCATTCTTATGAATGGACATTGCAGGGAAGGGAATATGCTTAAGGCTCTTGAATTATGGGATGAAATGTTGAGAAAAGGTATCTTGGTAAAGGTTGTTTCATATAATGTTATTATTAATGGATTTTGCATGGGAGGCGATATGAGCTTTGCTTATAAGTTCTTCTCTGAAATTTAAGAAGGGAATTTCTCCTAACATTGTGACATATAGTACTCTCATAAATGGACATTGTAGAGAAGGGAAATTGGTAGAAGCATGGATCATGCTCTCTAAAATGTCTTCTAATGGTGTTTTACCTGATCACATCTCTTATGCACTGGTTATTCGAGGCCTTTGCTTGCACGGAAATGTATGCAGAGCACATCAGCTTCTCCACAAGATGTTAGATGATTCTATCCTTCCTGACCCTTTTGTGTGGAATTTAGTTATTGATGGGTATGGAAGATGTGGAGAAATAGAGCTTGTATATGAGGTGACATATCATATGTTAGCATTAAGTGTGGCGCCCAACATTTTCACCTACAAGGCCCTTATTCATGCTCATGTGAAGGCAGGAAATCTTCAAGGAGCATTCATGTTGAAGGAAGAGATGTTTGAAAATGGGATTCTTCTTGATGTGGTTACGTACAACCTGCTTATAGGTGGGTTGTGTAGTTTTGGTCATGTATATTTTGCATTTCAATTGCACGATGAAATGTTAAGAAGAGGGTACCACCCTGACACAGTCACTTATACAGAGTTGATTCGTGGGCTTTGCATAAGTGGCAAAACACATGAAGCCCATGAGCTTTTGGTTAAGATGAAGAAAATGGATGTGCCTCTTGACCATGTACCATAGCACATACTTATAACGAAATATTGCAAAGAGAAGCAGTTGGATATTGCATTTGATCTCTATGAGGAAATGTCAGAAAAGGGTCTCCGTAGTAAGGCTTGTACCTATCGTACCCTTATTACTGAATTGATGAAGAAGGGCCTTTTTAAAGAAGCATAGCATGGGTATAGAATCTGCAATATAGGGTAGAGATTTCATTGCTATTTCATACATGGAAGTCTCATTGGGCACCTCTTAGAGTCCATTTGGTTCCCAAAGTTGCTTCATAGACATGGGTTTTCCATGTCAGGGGTGATATAGCATGGCACGGGCAGTCCAAAAGATTCTCAGATATTTGAGCTCCTCCGGTGTACCAGGAGATGAGCACAACACATTTAAATGTGTGCATCAAGATCGTGCTTTGGGGCTCGTGAGGTATGTGTTGTACTTGGTCATGTGATCTACTGGTAAATTTCCTTTCCTAGTGGTTTCTCTTTAAAAGATCAAGGGATAGTTATTAGCTTGTTTAGTTGATATTCAATAAGTATTTATAGTTTATTAAAAATCATGTCTCTTTTTCTTCCGGACACCTGCAAATAGTTAAACTATGCAACTAATTCGTGTGTTGCTTGTCCATTGACGATTTTTGTCTGAAATAAGGATAATATAAGTTCTGGTGGAAAACTGAAAACATTTATTTCTGATGGTCTTCTGATTGAAACATTTGCATTGATAAATATCGCTGTGCCTGCAGGTATTATTCTTGTATGGGGTACGGCCTTTCTCGTTTTGACAGAACCTCATTAAAGAAATGCACAATTGCACCCAAGTGATCTCACTTCTTGTTGCACTTCCTTTCTGTTCGTTACTTTAAATGAAATCTGGTGCGAGGCTGGAATATTTAAATGTCAAGAAATGGCGTAATATGTCTCAAGTATTCAAAAAGTGATTCCCAATTTGCGGTTCCTATTGGTAGAGCTACAAGCTGAGAGTCTTCTTACAATAATCCATTTCATAGGTTTTATTTATTTATTTATTTTTGTTTGGTAACATGAAACAGCTCATACGGGCATTATTACATTTTGCACCATTATAACATCACTGAATGGGACTACGATTTCCCCCTTGTCTGCATGACTAGATGTTGGGCACTTTAGTGACAGTGCAGAAATGCGTTTATATTTAATATTTTTGATGAAAAGTCAAATTATGGTGGCTGTCAATCAAAAGAGAGCCCATTGATCAGAGCTAAGTCTTGAACTTTTGATTGGCTTGCGAGAAGTCTAAGCAATGAAGTATTCAAATTCGTAGGATTTTCTTACTTGATATGGTTGATAACCAAATTCTTGTTTTTGTGAATTTCTCACACATTGTCATTCCGCTAGCAATTTTTTTTCTAAATCCTCTTTAATTCAGTGTCAAAAAATCCGTTGTTTCTCCATGCCACTGTGAAATTATGTTGTTTTGCAGTACTCTATTTCACTTGCTTTTATTTGTAATTAAAGCAGGTCTCCTTCATAAATTTAAATAGAAGTAGAATGACAAGAATCTTAAGATTCTTAACCATTCCACATGACTGTTGAAAGTTTTCTCTAGGATTTTATCAAGTCTGTTAAGTTCCCCAGATTTATGCTTGGTAGTTCTAATGTCTTTACCATTTAGTTAGTAACAAGACATCTTAAAATTGGAGTTATCTTTTTTTAGAATTGATTAAGTTGGGGGAATTCACCATTTTATGGGGAAATGATGCCTTTCTCAGTGAATTACCTCTTGTGCTGCTGCTGGATTCTTACTTCCCAGCTGGAGATAGTGTCTATTTCTGAAGCTTTGATTTACTGCTATATTGTGGAGCCCATGAAAAGTGAGGAACAAGCACTGTTTGGCACTATTAGAGAGTGGATTCATGATCTAGCCATTGCCTGGGATTTAGAGAGGATTTCCGAGTTTTCAGGCCCCCAAATTTTGTTAGTGACTGGTACTTGGTGGTTGACATTGAATCTCAAGACAATTTTTGGGGGTCTGTCCAATATGGCACCTCAAAGCTTTAATGTTATTGACAAGTTGTATGAACCAGTGTTTGCAAATCCGAACCGGAACGGTTAATCGGACATGAGCCTAGAAGCGGTTTAACCGGCCTAACCGGTAAACTGGCCGATTTAACCATTCTAACCGGCAAATCCCGGGCGGTCAAAAACTTGTTAAAAAATAAAAAAGATAAAAAAAAATCTGCTAAAATATGAAAAGCATATAAAGAATGATTAAAATAAAATACATTCAAATGAAGTTGAAAATTAATGAACAAAAATAGAGTTTAACGAATCGATTTTTGAATTAAAGTGAGTATTAATGACAAAAACAATTTTTAATCTTTACCATAATGTGAAGAATATTAAAAAATGCATTACAAACCAAATTCCTTATTTTTGGGAATTTATGTACATTTTTTTGATTTTGTTCTTAAAAAATACCGATTGATCACCAAAATCGCCCAAAAACGGAACTGGCCACTGGCCGATTCCGATCTAACTGGGCGGTTAGCGGTTAGATTGCTCGGTTTTTCTAACAATGGTATGGAAACTCCGGGCCCAACTAGCACTGAAGGACTTTCTAAAGACTGCTCTGAGGCTATTTGTTTGACCTTATCAGAACCCATGGCTTGTGGAGCTTTACAATGCCACTATTGTTGAAGCCACCACCATCTTGACCAATTAAGCTTTTTTACATAATCTATCTCTAGACCTGCCTTTTTGGAGGAGGATTCATCTAACATCCATTGGGTGTGCTGAGGTAAGGCACATGCTTGAAGACTAGTGAACCTCATTGAAGATATTCTCCATCTTAGCCACTCTGCAATGGTTAGCACTTGCTGTGTTATTAGAGAGACTAATGATGTAGCAAATAGATTAGGGGAATGTGTAGTATCCTCAATGCCTTGGAGGTATTTAGCACCTCGGATGCCTATGGCATGAATCAGTTTTATGTGGTTCTATCAATTTACAGCACCACTTTTCTTCTGTTTTTGCATCATACTACGCAAACCATTTCCCAAGCCAAATTAGAGAGGGATTTCCAAGTCCGATTGGTTTCTTCCAGATCATGGAAATATGTTAGGCATCCTCTCCCCTCACCTGCCACCTCTCTATCTCTCTCAATACACGTGGCTATTTTTGAAAATGAAAGCTCATTCCAGTATTCTGATTCATTTGTAAGTTTCTCCACTGTAAGTTAAAACTTGGACTTGGGTCTCCTTCACAATCGAAGTATTCATTTGTAAGTTTACTATATTGCAAATCAATTTCCCTTTGTATAATGGCATTACCTATATAAGAGGTAGGTGGGAAGGTGCATGACTGTATTGGCCTTTTGGAATATGCAACACAAGAACTTCCTGCCTCCATTCGCTCAAACGTGATTTAACCTCTAATGCCACTAAAACCACGTGCCTCTTCTCTAATGCCATTGGACTAGCATGCCTTTAGTGGCAACCCCTAATGGTTTTACACTAGGTTGTTCTCTGAAGTCCCACCAGACCTTTAAAAATTTATTCAGAATCGTTACCCCACTGCTTATTGTGGACAAGAAGCTTGTAGTTGCACACGATACAGATGAGGTGCTATGTATTAAGGAGGAGATTCGGAATTGCCTGATATACTATTTTCAGGCCTATGCCTTGTTGGGCCTTGTGGCCTTTGAAGGCCATGAGAGCATGTAATTATAATACATTATAGTGATTTGTGTACTTCAGTGGAATTGTGCTATAGTTGATTTACCTAGGGTTAGGCGGTCTATGAGCCAGGCCATGTCCGAAACCCTTTTTTCTTAGGCATAAGCACTACCGTTGAGGGTTTATAGAGGGTCATCTCTTGCTAAGGTCGGAGAGATGCCTAAGGATATTGTTTGTAGGTCTAGAGAGCTTCGTAGTCTCCTATAGAGGAATACGTTTACATGTGCATAGAGAGATCCTCTTGCATTATAGTGATATGTGCATCTGACTTGCTCTTAATGGGGAAACCTGTAATCCACATACACGAGACTATGTTTCCATTATTTATTGGCTAAATTTGACGGGCGAATCATGAGCCTCAGCATAGGTCATGAGTTTTGCTTGGTTGGTTTGAGAAGGTCGTTGTGGATCATGGATTTTTGCATTGGTGGAGTGCTTTGATGGTCACTTTTGACCTATTGATATCAATCCACTTCTAGAGGTATTTTTATGTATTTTTAATTTTTATTTAGCCCTAAAAATATTGTTTTCAACCGTATTTATGCTTATGTGATTTTTTGATTTTTTAGAACTTTAAAATTGATTTTCAATGAATAAATGCTCCCTAAAGGTTCTTTCTGAATTTTTTTTTTCTAAAAAGGGTTGGTTTTCAAAATAATGGTCTTATGTGGTCGGACCCACGTGGGGGGGCTAAGGTCCCAGCCCCTACACATGTGGGGTCCACATGGTGTGGAACGTGGAGCCCCCATGGGCCATGCACCTCACATAGAGTGATGCCCCATTTTTCTCACTAATTTGGGGTATCTTGAGGGTGTCATTTTATTACAGAAAATATCTTTTTTGGTTAGGTAAAAAATATTTTTTAAGTAAATCTTTTGTGATATTTTTATAGGATCTAGATTATTTGGACCATATTTGTTTTATTTTGAAATTCTTAAATATCCTTTGATGAGATTAAAAAGGAATTTTTTAAATAAATCAAGAGATATATTTTGATTATTTATAATCTACATGGATTAGAAGTGGATATGGGTCAAATCTTAAGGCATAAGGTTCCTAAATATCTTCTCTAAATCATGATGGCTGGTCTTAGAGATCAATGATTCAGATAATTTATCTCTCACCACACATGGCATCCTGTTCTTTATATCTGTTGTTGCATTTCTGCTTTATATTTAACAAACACTTCATAGATGTAGCATTAATTATTGGCAATGGCATGATTAGTTTTTTCCTTTATAACACTTAGGCAAAGAAAAAAGAACTTCCTTGACATAAAGACTAGACCACAGGTCATGGTTATGAAGGGAAGATATTCCATCTCCCTCAAGCACAAGGATGAGTCCTACTGGTTGTGGGTCGTGTTATGTCAAGATATATTTATTTTCAGCAGATGCCTGAGGCTTATAAATGAATGAAGAAAGCAGAACCAAATTACGCTTTTCTACCCTGTTAGACTGTGATTTGATCTGTGAATAAGATGCACTTTTTCTTTTTCAGTTTTGAACTTGTAAGTTCTTCGCATTCTATATCTGAGCATATCAAAATGAAAAGATGAGATCTTACAGGGCTTCGAATTTTCCTTTGATGTCCCAATGGCGTGCCCTTTGGTGCATCCATGCTTCATATAGCAGAGAGATCTATAAATGCTTGTAACAGTGCAGTTCTAATTTCAAGTTGCAGTGACAAGCCAATTCAATGACTCTCTCGCTCTGTTTTTTGTGTTGTAATATACATCGTTTATCTGGTTTAAGGTGTGTGAATTGATGCATTATTTGGGTGTGGTCAATCAAGCTCTTGTTGCACGGGATTTCATCAAAACTCTGAATTCTATGTGTGTACATGTAAGAGATCTTCAATGATGGGTGAAAACGCCATGATAAGCTTGGACTGCCTTCTTGATCTGTTAGGCATGTCCTGGAGTAGACATAAGCATCATCTTCATCATCAGATAATGTCAATTCAAGATTTATAGAAAGTTTTGGCAAAGTTTTATGTTGGTTGTCCTGGAGTAGACATATCCCATGGAATTTTCAGAGTCCCAAAGAAGCGCAACTCCAAGCTCTCCACAGTTGGGACTTGGTCGAAGAATACCAGCCTCTATCCCGTGAGAAGAGGAACCTTAGAACCCAACCCCAAATTGGATACCAGCTGCTCCTCTGTGAGGAGGAAATCTTCTGGTATCAATGTTTGAGAATTAAAAGGTTGAAGCATGATGATCTTAACATTGCCTTCTTCTACAAAACCA